CTGCGGCCGGGCCGTGGGGGGCCATGGTTTGCGCTGCTGCAGATCGTGGAGCGGCTGCTCGGGTCTGAGTGGCAGCAGCACACGGTACCCTACAGCTCCCCCTGCACCAATATTTCACAAGAAACCACCCCTGCAACACATTCAGGAGCACCAACAACAAAATCACGATCTTAAAGAGGTAACAATCCTTATCCTCATAGCCCAGTGGGTTTCCATGCCCTAGCTCTGATGGTGTCACATTAGTATAATTATGAAAGGGAGAAGTAAACATTCCCCAGGTAAAACTGAAAGTGTAACTAATAAAAGAATCCATCACGTGATGCCCAAGATATACAGGTAGAGCCATTACCCAACATATCATGTTATACATCTGAATTACAAACCACACCAAAACAGCACCTTTAAACCTTCTCATAAGAACAAAAAGAACAAATAAACTTTGCAACACATTTGGCAGGTTAAACCAAGTTGACTGAATTAAGTTCAAACAAAGCTGTTTAAAGGCATGATACAGTATTTCGTTTAAGAATGACATGATGTGAGCTGTTTGTTCTAATCTCTGAGCAAGTTGGAATTCAAACTGTTCAGGCAATTTATCACAACTTTGGTCGAACACTGCTCGTGCCCCACGTTGGGCGCCAATTAATCTGTCGTGGTTTAGGCCAAATCGGCTACAGGGGACATGGGGGACCCCAGATGGGATCGACAGATGCTCCCCTCTACCCCTCTTCAAAGAGAGGGGCAGAGGAGGGAAAAAGAGATACAAAACCATATCAAGCTCCCAGGATGACAATCACGTCACTGGCTGGCACTGGGGAAGTCCCAGGCTGGACTCAGTGATGGATGGGAACTGGATTTCAGATCTGCATTCAGGATCAGGATCAAAGGCAGATGAACAGAGTCCTCCTCAGATGTCAGCCATTGAAGGAAGAGCCCTGACCCTTTGATCCTCAGCTTTTATACTGAGCATGATGCAGAAGGGATGGAATACCCTGTTGGTCAGGTTTGGGTCACCTGTCCTGTCCACTCCTCCCTGCAGGTGGGATCCCATTATGCTTTTCTGCTTCCGACCCTCCAATGGGGCAACTAACAAAGTTGGTTGGCCTTGGTTGTTATAGCAGTAAGTATAAGCAAGAGCCTCTCTGCATACCATGCCTGGGCATCTGCTATAAACATAGGTCCTATCACTCTGAGAGAGCGAACATTGTCTGCGCAATATGCTGTTAATTTCAGTAGTTAGAGAGGCCTAGCTAAGAAGCGAAGTTACTGAACAAAATTGGTTCTGTTTTACCTCAAACCAGGACAAGTAGCAAAGTTGAGCCTGGGAAGAGGGGGGAGTGGGGGAAAAGGATATTTTAATATTTTATTTTGTTTATCATCATCCTACTCTATTTTTTAATTGGCAATAAATTAAACTAATTTTCCCCAAGTCAAATCTGTTTGGCATATAAGAGCAACTGGTAAGTGATCTCTTTTTTTCTCAACCCATCCTATTTTCTCCCCCTGTCCTGCTGAGGAGGAGAAGCAAGAGAGGTGCTGGGTAGGCATTTGGCCCTTAGCCAAGGTCAATCCACCACAGTGTGAGAAAGTAAATAATATGACCACCCAGACTGATGATGATAAAGCCTTTCATAACTACAAAATCTTTTACTCTTCCTTTTTTACTACCCAAATAAATTATGTAATGCTTTTTTGTCACAATGATCACAAAAAGAGTACAGACTGTTTTTACTGTTTCTCTTTAGATACGATGGGAAAAAACCATCACACTAGGGGAGCCCCCAGGATTCTTCCACTCCTGGTGATGCTAAGTGTCAATTTTCTTTTCCTCTGATTTTTAGAATATGTTCATTGTGAATTCTAATGTCTGGAGGCAAGAAAATCAGGTTAAACATTGTAAAAAGGATGTGAAGATAAGTATCAAGAACTATTTTCTCATAAAGTGTTGAAAGAACAGAAAATTAGATATAGGACAGTATATAGACATTAGATACAGGAAAAGAAATATTGAATAATGTATTGATAAGGCAGCATCTTTGAAAGAAGGTGGCCTGCATTTCTTTGTTTACCATCTTTTATGAAATTGTGCATTTAAGAGATCATTCTCTATATCCTGAATAACTACATTTGAAAGAAATATATACATAGACTCTGCAAATAGATGTGAGCTTCCTCAGTCTTTAGTGCACATTTCAGTCATGGGAATAGCATATGAAAGCCATTAGCAGAACCCAAGCTACCAGCATCTTTGAGAGGCAGTGTATGTTAGCATGAGCTTGGAGCTGTAGTAGCTGCTTTTGCAATTTCTTTTAGCTCAGAATATGGGTAGGACACAGTGCTGACTTGTAATTTTTTATGCATGATGCTCCTTACGTATATATCTTGGTGTGTAGAGAAAATATACAAATTTTACGTATATATGCACATTTGTATATATAAAATTCCCAAGGGAAAAAGTGACTGCGATTTGGAACAGGCTGCCCAAGGAAGTGGTAGAGTCCTCATCCCTGGAGGTATTTAAAAGATGTGTAGATGTGGCACTTAGGGACATGGCTTCGTAGTGGTTTTGGCAGTGTTAGCTTAACGGTTGGACTCGATGATCTTCAAGGTCCCTTCCAACCAAAACGATTCTATGATCTTATATGCTGTTTCTTAACAGTTCAGAGATATTTGCAGTGTGTTAAAATCGATTCATGCATAACTCCATTTGAGGCAGGGGAAGACTTGGAGTGTCATAATACCCTTGTACTCTTTCATTCTTTATCAACCAAGAGCTATAGGATAGCATACCTTTCTGTTTTCTAGTCTTATCCATACATTTGTTTTGCTAGGAATTTTTGTTTAAAGGACAGTATTGGAACTTGGAAGAACTCACAGTTTTCTCTTCTTTTTCTTGCCTTTTCACAACATCCCAGGATTACTGTATGAATTTGTGCCTTCCAGTGCTTTGTGTTAGTAAATTGCAGCAGTTGCAGAGGTATGAGGTTAAATGCAGAGCTTTATTTGCTTTGCACTCTGAAAGCTTGAATATTAGACTTGCTTCTTGGTTTTAAAGTAATACAAGCACTGCTTGCTTCAGAGAATCAGATAACAGGACTTGATTCCTCATAGATGTTTTACAAAGCTGAATTTTTTCATAGAGGTTTTTTCAGCTCTTGGCTAGAAAGTGATATTTCACGCATATATGTGTGTAGTGTGTGTACACCATAAAATCTATGAGAATTACAATGATTTACTCTCCATACCTCTTAATTCTTAACTTGCAGTGTATTTTGGGATCTCTACTGTGCAGCTCCAGAAAGACGAGAAACATGTGAACATTCAAGTGAAGCAAAAGCCTTTCATGACTATGTAAGTTTTATATATCTTTATCATGTTTTTGTTAATTGTATGTATGAATGTGATAGGGAAATATTTCTGCAGGACAGTGACTCAGAAACGCATGAGTCCATCATATATAAGTAACTCTCATTTGCTTTTTGGGGATGCCTTAGAATTAGGACTGTCTAATCCTGTGATTAATCAGTGTCACATGGGAAACACCTGGAATCTATCTCATAGGTCAAAGTGTTGTCCCATATATTAATACAGAATGAAGGATGGCTTTCTCTATCTCCCCCATGGACACATCAGCCTGGTCTCAGTTGCAAAGGCCCAGGCCAAACAGAAGCACAGATATGTGCTGTCCAAATAACCATACACTGTCAATGCTAAAGAAAAGACAGTTCAGTAGATGGAATTGATCCCATGGCTTCTGACAGGACCATACTGATTTAACAGATGATTATTCTTTAGATATATCCTGATGTATCCTGAAATAAGTATTTTTTATTACAGTAGTAAACACATGCATCATAGAACAAATTAAATATAAATCATCTAGTCTACTAGAGCAAAAGAAAAAGGGGAAAGGACAAAAGTATTATGCTGATTTTGATGCCACTGAGTTCCAGTTCAAAATACAGCAGGTGGTGTTCTAGAAACTAGTGATGACAACAACACTGTAACAGTTTTCCATGCCTTTTTTTCTATTCTCATAATGTAAACGGAGAACTCCAGCACTCTGGAACTGCATTCCAGAGTTGGAATGGAATTTGGGATACATTTACTATGACAGCTCTTCTTCATCTGTTGGTTTCCTTTTTACTGACAAAATCCTCAGGAGGCTGACTGACCTGGGTTTGTTATTCCTTTGGGCCATTCATATAATACAAAGAAGGATTATAAACACTCCCTGTCCTGGTTTGAGGTAAAACAACCAATTTTGTTCAGTAACTTTGCTTCTTAGCTAGGCCTCTTCTAACTACTGAAATTAACAGCATATTGCGCAGACAGTGTTCACTCTCTCAGAGTGATAAGACCAATTGTTTATAGCTGATGCCCAGGCATGGTATGCAGAGAGGCTCTTGCTTATACTTACTGCTATAACAACCAAGGCCAACCAACTTCGTTAGTTGCCCTATTGGAGGGTCAGAAGCGGAAAAGCATAATGGGGTCCCACCTGCAGGGAGGAGCGGACAGGACAGGTGACCCAAACCTGACCAACAGGGTATTCCATCCCTTCTGCATCATGCTCAGTATAAAAGCTGGGGGATCAAAGGGTCAGCTGTCTCGCTCTTCCTTCAGTGGCCGAAGTCTGAGGAGGACTCTGTCTGTTCGTCTGCCTTTGATCCTGATCCTGAACGCAGATCTGAAATCCAGTACCCGTCCATCACTGAGTCCAGCCTGGGACTTCCCCAGTGCCAGCCGGTGTCGTGACTGTAGTCTCGGGAGCTTGATACGGTTTTGTATATATTTCATTATTTCTTTTTTATTTTATTATCAACATTTCATTAAAGTAGTTTAGTTCCTTCTAAACTCATAAGTCTCTTTTTCCTCCTCTGCCCCTCTCTTTGAAGAGGGGTAGAGGGGAGCATCTGTCGATCCCATCTGGGGTCCTCCATGTCCCCTGTAGCCGATTTGGCCTAAAACACGACAGATTAATTGACGCCCAACGTGGGGCTCGAACCCACAAATCTGAGATTAGGAGTCTCATGCTCTACCAATTGAGCTAGCCGGGTGGGCCTGGGTTGGTTTTGGTCTGATAAATGCACTCATCCCTGGAGGTTGCCTCATCTGCCTCTCTCTTTGAAGAGGGGTAGAGGGGAGCATCTGTCCGTCCCATCTGGGGTCCCTCAGGTCCCCAGTAGCCGATTTGGCCTAAACCACGACACTCCCCCAATTATATAATTCTGAAACCTCTTTCCTTGAGTGTTTTCTAGACCTGTCTTAAAAATATTTTCTAATTATTGCAGAAAAATATTTCTACACATAAAATTAAAAGTAGGCTGCCATACCACAATGACTTATGAACAGAAAATTGGAAAAATTTAGAGAAATCACCTAAGTGATTGTTTTCCACTGTCTATTTAATTTCAAGACACTGACACAAATTGTCATAATTTGTTGATGGCTCAGCAGCCTATAATATGTGAACTAATGGTGATCTTGCCTTATTTGTAGTTAACAAAGACTATGTTACAAATGCACCATTAACACAATTAGAACTGTTAAGCATATTTTACTTATAGACTAATGACACTTTAATACCCTGTCCTTGGTGGTTAGATTTTGAGGCTGACTGGTAGAGGAGCTTGGATAGTTTTGCACAGTAGTGTCTATGCTGCATTGATTACTCACTTGTCATAATCAATGAAAAAAATGTGTGAGAGAGAAGTTGGGAACAAAATTATGAGGAAGTTTCCCATCCACTGAGGTGTTAAGGTCAACCAAATTGGTAAAGCATATTACTCAAATTAAACACAAACTAACTGTTGCAAGTACAAATTTCTGCCATCTTTTTTACTTTTTCTGTTTTAAATATACAGTGGTTGAAAAAAATATAATATTGCAATAGCTTTACTGTTATGAATGCTTGTTATTAGAGCAATGTTTAATTCCCCACTGAAGGAGGAATAGTTTTACAGGAATAGATTATGACAACAAGAAATGACTATAGTGAAGTAAATTTGTGGAGATCAGAATCCACAGTATGACAGTTGACTTCAGTGGGCCATTGTGTACTCACAATATAATGTGGTAGGTTGGCTCTGAATAGCAGCCAAGCACCCACACAGCTTTTCATTCACCCCCCCCTTTTCTTTTGGGGGGGAGTGAGATAGAAAGAACAGGTGCAAGAAAACTCATGGGTTGTAATAAAGACTGGGAAATCACTCTGCAGTTACTGTTGCGGGCAAAACAGACTCGACTTGGGGAATTTAACTTAATTTATTGCCAATGAACATAACCTAAACATTTAATTACTGATTTGGGTGTTGGGAAACAAAGACAAACATTTAAATACTTTGGGAAAGCACCTTTCCTCCCCCTTTCCCAGGCTCAGCTTCACTCCAGACACCTCTCCTCCCCCCGTGTTATCACTCTGTGTTACACTCAGTCCTTTCAGTGAGACAATGAGCAGCACAAGAGATCAGGGTCAGTGCGTGGAAATTTCTCTCTGCCGCTCCTTGTTTCTCACTCTGTTCTCGCTTCCTTCTTACTCATTTCCTGTGCTCCTGTGCAGGTCCTCCATGGGCTGCAGTCCCATCAGCAGTGTGCCTGCTCTGCGATGGAGCATGTCTTACCTCTCTGACCTTGTTCCCTCCATTGTTCCCTCCTCCTCAGCATTTTCTGCCCTTTCTTAAATATGTTATCACAGAGGTGCAACAAACTTCACTGATGGGCTCAGTTTTAGCCTGTAGTGGGGCTATGGCGGAGCCAGCTGGAACTGGCTGTGTCTGGCACAGGGCAGCCCCTGACCTCCTCCCACAGAGGCTACCCCTGCAGGCTGCCCTCAAAAAAAACTTGCCATTTACACCCAAAAATGTCTGAAACTTATAAAAGTGAAATTATTTTGAAATTAAATAACAAAGTACTGCATCGTGACAAATGCATACTTTTGAAACTGTTTTTATATTTAATATTTCATGAGTGTATTGTACATTCATATTAAAGTACATGAAATGGTTGTAAAATACAGTATAGCGTATTTCATAGTAGTTGAAGATAAACATTTATTAAATGCTCTGTGAAATCCTGACCCATGTAGTGCTTGGCCACTGACTTAAGAGGAATCAAAACTCCATCATCAATGAAGACTGTCATAAAGCCAGTAACTGAATTCTAGCTTCTGAGTTGGGTCAGGTGGTTTGATAATATCATAACCCTGTTGTTAGATTACAGGTCAAGTAACAGAGTTGCACTGTCATATCTAAAAATTGTAATTGTCAAGTACAAAAAGTACAGAAGGCTCATTTATTAATTCATATTAGCAATTCAGAATTTTTAATTAGGTATGTGTTGTTCTTGATCTAAGAAAATTATTCTTGCTGTAGGTGTGTGTGACCTAGTATACCAGACAAGTCATGTTTGATGCTAAATAGGTTGCATTACCTGACCTAATATTTTTTCTGTCTTTGCTTCTGAAAAAAAAAAAAAAGAAAGAAAGAATTAAGGTTGTTTGATAGAGGAGGGAAGTACTCGGACATGATTTAATGATTTCTGAAGTACTGCTGCCTCAACCAATTCAGTTGCTAGTCATTCTGAAACACACAGGTTGACTCATAAAATTATTAGATACAGAAAGATTCTATTACTTCTCTTTAAGTTTCAGAGTTTCAAACTGCAGTAGCAAAAAATGTCACGATTTTTTTTAGACAACATTTTTTCGAGTGATGAGGATTATTTCACGATTTGATTTGTCATAAAATTTCAGCATGTGCTTTGCTTGTCGTTGAATACAACTAAATATATCATAGAATCATCGACTCAGAATATCTCAAGTTGGAAGGGACCCATAAGGATCATCGAGTCCAACTCCCTGCTCCTCGCAGGACTACCTAACACTAAACCATATGACTAAGAGCATCATCCAGACACTCCTTGAACTCTGACAGGCTTGGTGCCGTGGCCACTTCCCTGGGGAGCCTGTTCCAGTGACCGACCACCCTCTCAGTGAAGAACCTTTTCCTAATGTCCAATCTGAACTTCCCCTGATGCAGCTTCATTCCATTTCCTCATGTCCTGTTGCTGGTCACCAGAGAGGAGTGCAGCACCTCCCCCTGTGCTGCCCCCCTTGAGGAAGTTGTAGACTGCAATGAGGGCACCCCTCAGCCTTCTCTTCTCCAAGCTGAATAAGCCAAGTGACCTTAGCCACTCCTCATGTCTTGCCCTTGAGACCTTTCACTATCTTGGTTGCCCTCCTCTGAACACACTCTAATCATTTGATGTCCTTCTTATATTGAGGCACCCAAAACTGCAAACAGTACTTGAGGTGGGGCTGTACCAGTGCAGTGTAGAGGGGGACAATCACCTCCCTCAACTGGCTACCTATGCTGTCCTTGATGCACCCCAGGACACGGTTGGCCCTTTGGGCTACCAGGGCACACTATTGACTCATATTCAATTTGCCATCAACCCAAACCCCCAGAGCTCTTTCCACAGGGCTGTTGTCCAGCCTCTCGCCCCCACTTTGTATGTATACCCAGGATTACCCTGTCTCAGGGGGAGAATCTGGCACTTGATCTTGTTAAATTTCATACGGTTGGTGTTTGCCCAGCTCTCTCATCTATCCAGATCTCTCTCTAAGGCCCCTCTACCTTCGAAGGACTCCACAGCTCCTCCTAGTTTACTATAATCAGCAAACTTATATGCAGCTGAACTTCATACATCTGCAGTATTCTGGGGCAAAAAAAGAATAGGACTATCTATAGTGCTATCCTGGAAAACAGTGCATATTAAGTTTTGTTTAACATCAACTCTATCTAATCAAGCAAACTGAGTCTTGTCTGTGTGTGCATATCAGTCTGTTCTTGACTATTTGTGTAAAAGAACAGTAAAAGCAAAACTCCTTTCACAGAATCATAGAACGGTTTAAGTTGGAAGGGACCTTAAAGATCATCTAGTTCCAAGCCCCCTGCCATAGGCAGGGACCCCTTCCACTGGACCGGGTTGCTCAAAGCCCCATCCAACCTGGCCTTGAACACTTCCAGGGATGGGGCCTCCACAACTTCCCCAGGCAACCTGTTCCAGTGTCTCAGCACCCTCAGAGTGAAGAATTTCTTCCTAATATGTTCCTAATATCTAATATCACACTAGCCCAGGTTGCCCAGGGAAGTTGTGCAACGACAACCCTTTGAACAATTTAAGCAGGAAATGGTTCATGCAGTAGCCCTTGGGCCAGTCTGGGCAGAACCAGATATTAAAAATGTGCTCTACATGGCAGCCAGGGAGAATGGACCTACCTGAAGCCTCTGGCAGAAAGCACCAGGGGAGACTGAAGGTCAACCCCTAGGGTTTTGGAGTCAGGGATACAGAGGATCCGAAGCCCACTATACTCCAACTGAAAAAGAGATATTGGCAGCATATGAGGGGGTTCGAGCTGCTTCAGAACTGGTTGGTATGGAAGCACAGCTCCTCTTGGCACCTCGACTGCCCGTGCTGGGCTGGATGTTCAAAGAAAGGGTCCCTGCCACACATCATGCAACTGATGCTACGTGGAGTAAGTGGATTGCACTGATCACACAGCGAACTCGAATGGGAAATCCCAGTCGCCCAGGAATATTGGAAGTGATCATGGACTGGCCAGAGGGCAAAGATTTCAGAATATCACCGGAGGAGGAGGTGACGCGTGCAGAAGAGGCCCCACCGTATAATGAACTGCCAGAAAATGAGAAGATATATGCCCTGTTCACTGATGGGTCCTG